TAATCCTTAGCCGATTCCCGCAGTTTTTTAAATGTCTGTTCATCCATGATAACTTTTAAACCAAAGATATGCAAAAGTTTGGAGAGTAGAAATTTATGAAATTGCAGTTATATCTTACGTTAATATATCTATATAAGCGTTGTCATTTTAATACGGTATACAACAGGGTTTGTTTGTTTATTTAGTTGTTTGTCATCTTGATAATTTTTGAATGCTAGGTCATATGCCTTTTAAACCAAAGATATGCAAAAGTTTAGAAAGTAGAAATTTATGAAATTGCAGTTATAGCTTACGTTAATATATCTATATAAGCGTTGTCATTTTAATACGGTATACAACAGGATTGGCAAATGGCCTTAAATTATCTAGATGACCTGATGACTAAATGATAAATGACTATGTTTATTTAGTTGTTTGTCATCTTGATAATTTTTGAATGACTAGATCATATGCCAACCCTGCTATACAATCAAGTAGTACGGAAATGTTAATTAGGATAGATATTCGGAAAAAGAAAAATTGGACCGATAATGCAAGAGTTCTCCGTAATAAATTTTAATTCGAGATGTCGTAAACTATCATCAGGTGGATGAAGCATTTCATGATCATCGTTAATGATATTATCATCATCACATAAAAAATCAGCTAACTGATTCAAATAAAGAGAGACAGTAATACCTACATCAATATGAAATGAATGTTTTATTAATTTCTTTCCACTAATTGGATTTAAATATTTTCTTTAAAGGTGAATTACAGTCAAGCATATTACCAAAAATGGAAATCGATCATAGATCGTTTTATTGAAATTTGATTGGCTGCTTTTTGGTTACATTTTGTGACATTTCACAATAGCTAACCATGATAAATAATTTTATAAATATAAATTTGAATATTCAAAGTTTCATGATCAACATTGATCCTATTGGAATCAATCCTTTATTTCAATGTGTATAAAGACTCAAAAAAATTTATGTTATACTATTCTTTTTCTAAACTAGTAATAAATGTAATACACAATTTTTGCAAAAAACTCTTCTTGACAATTATATAGACAATGAAAATCAAGAAACTAAATTATGGTCAGCATTATAGAAGTTGCTAAAGTAAATAATAAACTTGGTTTTACAAAAGTAGATGTGTTGTTGACAAAGTACCAAGAGTGTAAAACTGAGATATGGTCTACTTTGGACTGGTTTTGGTAGAGGTCAAGCTTCTTGTTGGCAAATTCTTCTATTTTTATTCAGCATCCAAACCAGAAGAATATTTTAGAAATGTAAAATATCTAGGATAACACCAGGAGTTTATAAACTTTGGGTAATCTTTATATAACCATAAAACTTACAAGAAACAATCACAAAAAAAACTTATTGATTTACCATTTTTTTTTAAATAAATTTTGGATGTTTTAGCTTACTCTCTTCAAAAGATCAACATGTAATTTTCTAAAACAGTCAGTATTATTGATTATTCAAAACAGGAGGTTACTATTAAAAATATTTATTTTTTAAATAATATTTGATAACTTGTATGACCAAATCTGTTTGAAGAAGCATATTGCTCTGTTGTAATCTAAAAGATGAATAAGGGCAAGTCTGAGACAACATATGAGGGTGACATAACTTGAATACTATTGATCTATTAACAATACTTCAAGGCTATCAGTGATATTGGCTAGTTTGTTTAGTTTAGTTACTAGTTTAGTTTTATTTTTTTTTATATATTACTCATTTTTTTTTTAGTTATACATATCTTTAGGATAAAGTTAGATACAGAGCTTCTTTATTTTGTAAGATGTAATTTTTTAAAGCCTAACACAGGCTTATAATTGTGATCTGTCAGATTCTCTTTTTTCTTTTCTCTCCCATATTTTATCTCTGTTTTTGTTTTTAGTATTAGTTTTTATTTATTTTTCTTTTTTTTTAGTATTAGTATTAGTATTAGATTTTTTCTTTCCACTTTCCTACAAGAAAATGTCATCAGATTGGTGATATTCTATTGTAGAGTAGTGGTCTGACAGTGTCTACTGAGATAGATAGAGTTTCTGTTCAAAACTTATTAGAACATATTCATATAGATGTGTCTGCTTAGTGTGGCTGGCCACTTGTAAGTGCTCTTATATAGTTAACATGTTGAAGTAACTGCAGGATGTCAGATCTAAATATTAGCAGTTATTATTTGCTCTATCTAGCATCTAAAATCATTAATAAAGAAACTCTAGCAAGACAGCCAAAGTAGAAAAAAAAAATAAAAATAAATGTAATACAACAATTATTCTAAGAAACCAACATCAAAATTGACTAAGTTGAGGTAATCATGTGATGTTGCAAAAAAAATATTCAGACATAAGGCATATTTTGGGGCCTTAAATTAGATTATTCAAATTCAGTAGTTTTTTTTTGGCTCTCTTTTTTCTTGTGATTTTTTTTCTTTTTTTTTGTATTGTTTTTTGATTATTCAATTTCTTTGGATATTTTTCATTACTTTTTCTTTTGTCTTTTCGCTTTAGTTTTTTTTTTTTTTTGTGACAATCTTTTGCATTGATATAGTGATTATTATCATAGAACTATCTACATAAAAATAGATGAAACTCCAAGTTCCACATAGATATGAAATATTGAAGCAGTTTGTTCTTAAGCTGAACATAAAGAAGATTGTTTTCTAGTCACCAAA